GCGGCCCCTCGCGCCGCCCTATCACGGCCCGTCGCCGCCCTTCGCGGCCTCTCGCGGCCCTGTCGCCGCCCCCCTCCGGCCCGCCGTCGCCGCCCCTGCCGCAGAAGCCGCCACAGTCCCTACAGTAGCGGCCGCCGCCGTCCCTGCAGCAGCAGCCGCAGCCGTCGCCAGCAGCAGCCGCCACCACCTCCCTCGGGGCCGCAGCTGCTGCCGCCGCTGACTGCACCCGCCGGTGCGCCTCGGCCCTACCGGCGCCGCTCCACCCGGCCCCGCCGCCGCTCCCCGCGTGGCCCCGCCGTCACCACCGAGCCGCCGGCGCCGCCGAGCTGCTGCCGAGCTGCCCGATCCACCCGAGCCGCCCGAGCCGCCGCGCCACCTGAGCCGCCCGTGCTGCCGAGCCGCCGTACCGCCGAGCCGCCCGAGCCGCCCGAGCCGCCGAGTCGCCGAGCCGCTGTTGCTGCCGAGCCGCCGTACCGCTGAGCCGCCCGAGCCGCCGAGTTGCCGAGCCGCTGAGCCGCCGAGCCACCCGAGCCGCCCTGTCTGGTAAGAGCAGCGCCTCTGTCACTGCACTGCCCTTACCCTACTGTTCGCGCTGCTAGTCTACTGCTGTCATGGCTACCCCTAGTGTCCTCGCTTTTGACGCTGAGGGTCGGGCCATTGACTTTGACGTCTGGGTAGATGACCTGCAGCTTTTCTTACAGTGCGATAGGGCAGACGGTCTCTCCCTCTTTGACCTCACCTCTGGTGCCTCTCCTGCCCCTGCTGCTGATGCCGACGCCACTGTTCGCTCACAGTGGGCCACTCGCGATGCTGCTGCACGTCTTGCTGTGTGTCGCCACCTGCCTACCTCTGAGCGTGCGCACTTTAGCCAGTACAAGAGTGCTCAGACCTTGTACGACGCTGTAGTTGCGCGCTACTCCTCCCCTGCCACTGCTGCACTGAGCCGCCTCATGCTACCGTACCTCTTCCCTGACCTTGCTGCCTTTCCCACAGTCGCTGACCTCATTACGCACCTCCGCACTAGTGACACTCGCTACCGCGCTGCGCTTCCTGCTGAGTTCTGCGCCAAGAACCCCCCCCCCATGTACATCACCCTCTACTACATAGTCACCCGGCTCCCTGACTCCCTTCGTGTAGTCAGGGACCACTTCCTCTCAGTTTGCCCCACCACTCTCACCGTTGACCTCCTCGAGAAGGCCCTCCTAGCAGCAGAGAAGAGCATAGTCGCTGTAGGAGCCTCTCGTGGTGACCCTCGCACCCCCGTCTTTGAGGGGTGTTCCCCCTCCCCCCTTTTGCCCTCTGTTGCCTCTGCTGCTGCGGCCGACCTCGTTGGGCTTGAGTCGGTCGGTGCGGCGTCTACCCCTAGCGGGAGACGCCGCCCTGGCAAGGGCAAGGGGGGCAGGGGCACTGGAGGAGCTAGCGGGGGCGGTGGAGGCGGCGGTGGAGGCGGTGGAGGGGGTGGGGGTGGCGGTCCTCCATGCACCCCATGTGTCCAGGCCAAACTCTCCCAGTCACCTCATCCCTCTTCTCCCTCTGCCTCTCCCCAACCCCTTGACCTTGTTCATATGGACCTCTGGGGTCCCTCACCTTCTGCTTCTCGTCAGGGTCATCGATATTTTCTGCTTTTGGTTGATGACCACTCACGCTTTGCAACTGTCTATCCCCTCCGTGCCAAATCTGACGCTCCCTCCCTCATCATTCGCTGGGCTGAGCAGGCCCGTCTACGTTTTAAGCGTCCTGTCGCGCGCTTCCATTCCGATGGTGGTGGCGAATTCTTTAATCACTCCCTCTCCTCTTACTGTGCCTCTCATGGCATTCGCCAGACATCCACTCTTCCTCACTCCCCAGAGCAGAATGGGGTTGCTGAGCGTCGCAATCGCACTCTCATGGAAATTACTCGCTACCTTCTCGCCCATGCCTCTGCTCCCCACTCTCTTTGAAGCTATGCTCTTCTCCATGCCACTTTACTCTCTAACCTCCGCCCTCATCCTCTTCGCCCCACTACCACCCCCTTCCAGCTCTGGACTGGCCGACAACCCTCTGTCCGCCCTCTTCGGGTATGGGGGTGTGTCGCCCATGTTCTTGTAAATCCAGCAGACCGATCTCGTCTGGGTGGGAAGCTCGCTCCCAAGACGCAACTCTGTGCATTCCTTGGCATCAACTCTGATTGTCCTGGTTATCTTTTCTACGCCCCCTCCTCTCACCAACTCATCCGCAGCCAGGACGTCATTTCGATGAGACCCACTCTCCATTCCATTCTCCCCCACCCGCCCCTCCTGTCCCTTCTCTTCACTGGTCTGATTTCGATCAACCGTCGTCTGTCCTCCCCTCCCCCCCTCCCCCCGCACCAGCCTCTACTGCGCCCCCTTCCGACATCATCTCTGGCGCCTCCCCACCCGCCTCTTCTTCTTCGGCTCCCCTCCCTTCCTCACCTCCATCTTCCTCTCAACCCCCTTCGCCCGTTCCCATCCCTCCCCCTTCCCCGCGCCTTACTCGCTCCATGACTCGCGCCCTTTCTAATTTTCAGCACTCTGCCCTTTTCACTCGTCTATCTCCATCCCAGGATGTGAATCTTCTTGAAGATCGCTTTGAGGAACTTTTCACCATTCATCCTGTTTCTCCTCTCCTATGTGTCACTGTCGGTGACTTTAGCAATTCTCCCACTCTTCTCTCTGTTGACACCGCTGCCATTCCCACCCCTCAGTCCTACTCCGAGGCTGTGTCGGGCTTTCATGCCACTGAGTGGATGGCTGCCATCATTGCTGAGTGTGAGGCATTTACCAGAACTAATTCCTACATTGACTCTGTCCCCCCCCTGGCGCCACCATTGTCAAGGGCAAATGGGTCTTCCGTGTCAAGCAGCTGCCCGGCGAACTTCCTGTCTTCAAAGCCCGCTACTGTGCCAAGGGCTTCACTCAGCGTGAAGGCATTGACTACTTTGCCACTTACTCCCCCACAGCCCGTCTCCCCACTCTCCGCCTCCTTCTTGACTTAGGTGCTCGCTGGAATTGGGAGATCCATTCCATGGACGTTTCCAATGCTTTCCTTCAGGGCGAGCTGCATGAGCGCATATTCCTTGAGCGTCCTGCTGGCTTTCCTCGCCCTTTCCCTCCAGGCACTGTTTGGGAATTAAAGCGACCTGTGTATGGCCTTAAACAGGCCCCACGCGAGTGGCACGCCAAGCTCGCCTCTACCCTTCACTCTCTTGGCTTCTCTACCTCCACCTCCGACTCCAGTCTTTTCATTCGCACTTCCCCCCACAGACTCTACATTCTTGCCTACGTGGACGATTTGGTGCTGCTTGCTGAGGACTCCGCCGATCTTGCTGCTGTCAAGAAAGCCCTGCAGGCGCGTCTCCTGTGCAAGGATCTTGGCGAGCTTCGTCACTACCTCGGCATGGAGATCCGTCGTGATCGTGCTGCTCGCACCATCTCTCTTTCCCAGTCTTTCTACATCCAGTCCATCCTCCAGCGGTTCGAGATGTCGCAGGCCAAGCCGGTCTCCACCCCTCTTCCCGCTAACCATCAGCTCACTGCCCCTGCCGTCCCTGCTCCCTCCTCTGAGTTGCGGCCTTATCCTGAGCTCGTTGGGTCTCTTATGTATGCTATGATGTGCACTCGCCCCGACCTTGCTTACCCTCTCAGTGTTCTCTCTCGCTTTGTTGGTCTAGGCCGCCACACTGACGTGCACTGGGCGGCTGCTAAGCGCGTCCTGCGCTATCTGCGCGCAACCTCTGACCTTGCTCTCACTCTTGGTGGCTCTGTTCCTCCCATTCTCTCCGGCTACAGTGACTCTTCCTACGCTGACTCTCGCCCTGATCGCCGCTCGTCTCAGGGCTATGGTTTTACTCTTGGCAGTGGTCTCATCAGCTGGCGCTCCACTCGCTCATCCTCTGTCTGCCTTTCCACCTGTGAGGCTGAGTTGTACGCAGGCACCTTGGCAGCTCAGGAGGCTCGCTGGCTCTCATTTCTCCTTGCTGAGCTTGGTCACTCTCAGTCTTCTGTGACGCTCTCCTGTGACAGTGCGAGCATGATTCATCTCACTGAAAATCCTGTCTATCACGCCCGCAGCAAGCATATTGAGGTCCGCTATTTTTTCGTGCGCGAGCTGGTGCAGTCTGGCTTCTTACGTCTTCGCAAGGTGGACGCTGCTGCCAACCTTGCTGACATTTTCACCAAGGCCCTCCTGCGTGCGCCACACCGTTTCTACGTGCGCGAGCTTGGGCTCACGCGTCTCTCCACTTCTGGGGGTGTGCCGGTTCGCTAGGTGTTTTGCTCCAGAGCTTCACCTAGCCTGGGGGTGTGTTGGAGTAGGCTAGAGCTTGCTCTGGTATTTATTTTGGTGTTCTTATATTATTTCTCCATGCTTAGAGAGAGTTACGCAATCAGGTTCATTTTAGGTTCATTTCGTAGTTCTTAGTACAAACCGAACACACCCTAGGTTCAATTAGGGTTTCCAACCCTCTCTCTTTTGTATCTCGACATTTTCTTCCTAGTGCAACTTTTTCGACCCTACCTAACTCTCTCGCCATCCATGGCTCCTCTCATCTTAACAGTCGTGACCCTTCACTGCCTAGTAACCGCACGAGGCAGTTAAGAGATGCAACGTGGTAACTGTCTAGAAAGGCAATAGTCGTAGTTACTGTAGCAATGCAATTCAGTTAATAAGGGAATGTACCCCTCAGAGTACATGGCTAGCTAGGATTGCTATTTATATTCCTGTAATCCTTTGTTATAATCATCTTCTTTCAAATCCTATCAACAAGGTCATATCAGAGACTTCTTAGTTCTCTCACATACTTAGCAAGCGTTATCCTGTCCAGTACGATCCTTCAGTTATAACAAGAATTAACGGCCACACAATGGAACTCTTCAGCAGAGATCAACATCTCATGGCCTCACCTCTGTATGTATGTAGAAATTGCACTACTAGCAGAACCATACGATAAAAGCTGCATTGCAATGCAATGCAACACCTTCATTGTTGTCATCTACAATGCACTACAAGCCTTGTGCAATCAGCTTTTTTGAAATCTCATCCACCACCCCAACCATCTCCTCCATATCCACACTAATATCCGTATCCTTCCCGCCAACGCCCTTCACCAAATAATAATGCAAATCGGACACATAAGCCAAATAATCATACAAATTATTATCAAAATCTTCAGGCCGTGCTTCCAGCACGAAGCCACCGGGCGGCATGAAGACCATATTGGCCATGAGGGCTCCGTGAGGGGTGATGAACAGTCGAGCGCGGTTGAATAGTTGCTTGGCCTCTGGTAAAGGCAAGTCACCATGGAACACCTGTTGAGGGGGGGGGGGGAGAGGGGGGGGGGGGTGAATGAGAGGCACAAGAGAAAGCACAGAGTGAAAACAAGGACGAAGACCATATTTGCCATGAGGGCTCTGTGAGGGGTTATGAACAGTCGAGCGCGGTTGAACAGCTGCTTGGCTTCGTGCAATAGGAGGTCTCCTCGAGAGAGCGAACAGAGATAGTACAAGGATGAAAACCAAATTGACAATGAGAGGCAGTGGGGGGTTATGTATGATAAGTAAAGCTCATTCAAGATGTGTGTTCACTCCACATACCTTTTGAGGCGCCTCAAAATCTCGCCCCACAAACCTTTCCTCGTTGTGGTGGCTTTGCATCAATCACACAGCACACCACACCACATTCCTTCACCGTACTCAACCACTCTCCAATCCTCGTCTGCAATCGCCACAATCCTCTCCTTGGGTGAGAACACCAATATGTGCGTTCGCCCCACAATCCGCCTTGTTGTGTTGACACTCTGGAGACAAACATACAGCACAGCACACCACACTCTTTCACCGTACTCAACCACTCACCATCGGGGCCATTCACAACTCACCACGATCCTCTCTTTTGGAAAGAACGCCTGCAGCTCCTCCAGCATGTGTGTTCGCCCCACAATCCGTCTTGTTGAATCATCCTTGAGTCAAGCACGCAGCATACCACACCACATTCGATCACCGTACTCAACCACTCACCACGATCCTCTCTTTTGGAAAGAATGCCTGCAGCTCCTCCAGTATGTGCGTTCGCCCCACAATCCGTCTTGTTGTGTCGCGCTGGCCCACCACCACGCACCAATCAGGTGTCGCCAGCACACCACCCCCTGGGGCAGCAGCAGCTGTAGAGGCAGCAGCTTCAGAACCGACAGTAACATCTGTTGGAACTGGATTGGCTGTAGCAGCATAGCCGGAAAATTGCGCCAGCTCGTGCCGAGATTTGATTCTCGGGGCGGACGGCGGGAGCAGGAAATGATTGCGCAGGTGCCTGACAAGGGCGGCGGCCGGGCGGCCGCACTGCGCGATGGACGGCAGGAGCAGGCGGCGGGCGAAGAACAGGTGGTCCTTGCGGACTGTCTGGAAATTGAGAGATGACGCGTTGATGTTGATGAGGGAGAAGAGGCGTGCGTGCTTGTCCTGAGAGGGAAGGGAGGGGGGAGAGGGGAGAGAGGCAGGGTGAGCAAAGGTGGGGTGATGGGAGAGGAAGGGGGACTGCGGCCGCACTGCGAAATGGACGGCAGCAGCAGGTGGCGGCAAAAGAGCGACGATCCTTGCGGACCGTCTTGAAGGCGTTGAAGTGTTGATGTTGATGAGAACGAAGAGGCGTGCATGCTTGTCCTGAGAAGAAATGGGAGAGAGGAACAGGCACGTTGGTGCAGGAGAGAGAGACAAGGTGAGAGGGGATGGCAGGAGTCGTGTCCGTTCATCCGCCCACTGCCTGCTCCTGCCATGCACTGCGCAATGGACGGGCGAAAAAGAGGTGGTCCTTACGGACGGTTTTGAAGTTCAGAGATGAGGCGTTGATGTTGATAAGCGAGAAGAGGCGTGCGTGCTTGTCCTGAAGGGGGAGGGCGTATTGAAAGGGAGAGAGACGAGGAAGGAGGTGGGTAATGCAGCAGGCAAAGAACACGTGGTCCTTGCGAACTGTTTAGGGTTGACGCGTTGATGTTGATGAGCAAGAAGAGGCGTGCGTGCTTGTCTTGAAGGGGAACGGGGGAAGAGGGGGCATGGGGGAGGAGATGGGGCAGTATGGGCGCATGAAAATTCAATCTAGGGATAATAAGTGCGTATGTTTGTACTGGGAGAGAAGGGAGGGGGGAGTGGAGGGAGGGGAGCTGTCTAATTCCAAAACGCTGCGAAGCTTGATGAGTGAGAAGACATGTGTGTGCTTGCCCCGAGAGGGAAGGGAGTGGGGAGAGGAGGACAGGGAGGGATGGGGGCTGTATTTTCCAAGGAGCCTCGAAGGTTGATGAGAGAGAAGACGTGTGTGTGCTTGTCCTGGGGAAGAGGCATGGAGGGAGGAGGGGAAAGGAATACTTCATCTCACCTCACCTAACCGCACCGCACCGCACCGCATCACTCCGACTGGGATGGGAGTGTGCGGCCGCTCCCACTCTAAGGAGTGGCTGCAGGTAGAGAAGAGACGGCATGACGACGCTAAGGAACGGTTGCGGCGAATGGTAGAAGTCGAGGATAGTTGGTCCAATGGAGAAGTGTTTCGGACAGGCGCAGTACAACAAGACACTGTACCTTAACGCACCGCACAGCACCGCACCACACCTGGTCGATCTTCACTGGAATGGGAATGCCCGGCTTCTCTTCCAGGAACGGCCGCAGGTAGAGCAGAGACGGCATGACCTCGACCAGCGAGTGGTAGAAAGTTGAGATTGTAGTGGTAAAAGGCAAGACACAGCACCACACCTCACTGCACCGTACCTCACCGCACTGCACCACATCGCACCTCGCTGCACCGCACCTGGTCGATCTTCACTGGTATTGGAATGTCGGGTCTCTTTTCCAGGAACGGCCGCAGGTAGAGCAGAGACGGCATGACCTCGAGTAGCGAATGGTAGAAGTTCCCACCATTCCAATTGGCCAATGAGAGCAGCTCACTGTACACGTGCACCTTGGTTTCGTTCCCTGTGTACAGGCTGAAATCCAGAGGGCATGACCTGCAGAGAGCAAGAGGTACCAGGAAAGAGGAAGAGGGAACGGAATGAGAGCAGGTCACTGTATGCGTGCACCTCGGTCTCGTTCCTTGTGTGTAGGCCAAAGTCGAGTGGGCACGATCTGGACATGGGGGGGAGAAGGGAAGTGGGTTGAGGAAGGAGGGGAAGAGAGGGAGTTATTGGCCTATGGGAACAGCTCACTCCACACACGTGCACTCTGGGTGGCTTTCTTTGTCATTACATGCATATATCACCATACACTGCACACCCATGCCAGCAGTGGTACATGGCATCAAACTCCATCAGACAAAATGTCTGATGGCATACGTACATACATGTGCCATGCTAGCACACATGCATACAGACCTGCACAGCAGCCCATGCCGGTAGTGGTACACACGGTGTCGAACACCATGTGTGTTGATATGCAATACATAACAAAGCACATAACTTGTATGCCTGCATAGGAAAATACCTGCACAGCAGCCCTTGGCGGTAGTGGTACATGCCATCAAACTCCATGCCCCGGTCGTTTATGAAGACGTGGGAGCATACGTGGCACATCACTACATGCCTATCCCAACACACACCACACACCTGCACAGCAGCCCGTGCCGGTAGTGGTACATGGCATCAAACACCATGCCACGGTCGTTTATGAAGACGTTCTCTAGCAGGAACACCTGCAGGGGGGAGCAGAGCAGCGAGACGAAGCGAAGAGTGAAAAAGAGGATGATGACGGAAGGTGAAGGTGGAAGGAAACAGAGAGGATGGCACCATGCCCCGGTCGTTGATGAAGACGTTCTCTAGCATGAACACCTGCAGGGAGCAGCAGCAGGAAAGGAGACCATGTTTTAGTCGACTGAAAAACGGAGCAGCAAGAAAAGATGGAAGAAAACATGCTGTGAAAACATAGAGGGTAACCAGGGGAAGAGCACATAGTTGGTTATTGCTCTGAAAAGCTGTATGCTGGTTGACATCCGATATTGCTTTGCAACAATCAACTGCGATGTGCAATACGGAAAGGGAACCAGGGGCATGTGAGGAAGAAAGGGAATAGGTAGAGGCACCAAAGTATTATTGAGTCGACTCAAAAGGAGGGGAACATGAAGAGGCACCAAAATATTACAGCCACACATAACAGAATTGACCCCCCCTACCACATGTACGCCCGTCCCCTCACCACCACCATTTTCCCGCATTCACGCTCCCACTTTTCATGTCCCATAGACCCATGCTCCCTCTCACCTACCTGAGCAGGAGCTGCCAAGCGGGCAGGTGGGCTGCGGAGGCCTTACTTCCATCAACTCTTGCTGTTCTAGGACAACGAGACCCATGCCCCACCTCGCCCACCTGAGAAGCAAACGGCTGCGCAATGGCCACGTCATAGCTCGCATTCTCCTTCACGTGGTTGGGGGGAGGGAAGGTGACAACGACAACCACACCAAACCACATCTAGCCCCTCACAACCTCTCGCCACTAGTCAGCCACTCCCCTCAACCCACCTGTGCAGCAAACGGTTCAGCAATGGCCACGTCATAGCTTGCATTCTCCTCCACGTGGTTGGGGGGAGGCGAGGTGAGCACAGGAGAGGGGTCCTCTAGAGGAGACGCGCCCACTGATGCCGTGCCTAACCCAACCACTGATGCCTAACCCTGACCTTGCTCACAATCACCCGCCTGTGCGGCGAACGGCTCAGCGATTGTCACATCATACATCATGTGGTTGGGGGGAGGCTAGGTGAGCACAACCACACCACACATCCAATCCCTCACGACCTCTCACCAACAACAAGCCACTCCCCCGCACCCACCTGTGCAGCAAACGGCTCAGCAATGGCCACATCGTAGCTCGCATTCTCCTTCACGTGGTTAAGGGGAGGGGAGGTGAGCACAGGCGAGGCGTCCACCAGAGGAGACGCATCCCCTGATTCCGAACTTAGCCCAGCCACTGATGCCGAGCCTAACCCCACTGCAGATGCCGAGCCTGATGCATCCGTTGCAGCCGATCCTACGGTGCCCATCCAATCTGCCTCTGACACGCCGAAAGATGCAGGCCCTGACACGTGTGCTGAAGCTGTCTGACCGGATACACCACCGCCGATGTTGCCTGATAACGAGTTGCTCAATAAGGGGTCGTTTCCGGTGCACGCCAGCACCCTGCCGGCCTGCCTGCGGCCAGTGCGGCAGCGAGCGAAGGCAGGGCAGGCAGGGGCCGGGCAGTGCAGGCCCTGGTAGGAGGGAGAGGGGAAGGGAGCAAGGTGGGGAGAGCGGGAAAACGGCAGTGGGAAGGTGGGCTTGGATTACCACTATCAGCGAGAAAAAGAGGGGCAGGCAGGGGCCAGGCAGTGCAGGCCCTGGTAGGAGGGAGTGGGAAGAGGGAGGAGGTTGTATCTGGATGACGAGTCACTCAATAACGGGTCGCTTCTAGTGCCCTCGTCATCAATAACAGGCCAACACCCTCTGCCTGCCTGCCTGCGGCAAGTTGACTTTTGAGTCGACTCAAAAGTTAACGGTCGCTTCTAGTGCAGGCCCACACTCTCTGCCTGCCTGCCTGCGGCAAGTGCGGCAGCAAGAGAAGGACGGGCAGGCAAGGGCTGGGCAGTGCGGCCCTTGAGGGGGGGGAGGGGAAAGAGGGTGGAAAGTTCTATCTGTGTAACCACCAGGCAGCCACTCAAAAAAGGGTCGCTTCCGGTACTCTGCCTGCCTGATTGCGGCCAGTGCGGCAGCGAGAGAAGGACGGGCAGGCAGGGGCTGGGCAGTGCAGGCCCTGATGGAGTGGGGGAGGAGAGGAAGTGGTACGATTGGTGTGAGCACATATGGGTGCGTACAAGGACTTGTGTATGCATGTTAGATGAGCCGTTTTTTTTTTTTTTTTTTTTTTTTTTTTTTGAGTCATTTCAAACCTCTTTAGACGAAAAACAAAAGGCCTGTGGAGGAGAGGAGCCAGGGTGGATGTGCTGGAGAGGAGAGTTGGGTTGTCGGTTGATTTGAGTTACAAGTGAAGAGCTTATCACCCTTCTGAAACCTCTTCCACCTGGAATCTCGCCCACCTGGAAGTATCTCACTTGGAAATATCTCGCCCACCTGGAAGTATCTCGCTTGGAAATATCTCGCCCACCTGGAAGTATCTCACTTGGAAATATCTCGCCCACCTGGAAGTATCTCACTTGGAAACTAAGTTGCCAAATACGCTCAACCCCTTCAGCGTGTAGCGTATGTACGCTAGCGTTTGTACGCTATGCGCTATACGCCCGCGAATACGCTATACGCTTTCAGAAAATTTTCCGGGCTGCCCAAAAATAAAATCGCGAAATAGTTGCGGATTTTCTAGGTGAACATTTCGCCGAAGTCAAATTGAAAATCCGTGGTCTAGGCTAGCCGGGATCTGACTTCGAAGTTGTGACACATTTGGCAAATGTCGAATTTCAGATCTACACATTGATTGAAAACCCATCTCATCTACCGCATTGAAACCCATCCCAACCCTTTTACAAACTCCAACCTGTCAAAATCGACCCCTCAACTAACCTTTCACACGATTCATTCCCGCTTCCAACATAGTTCCTCCCGCCCACTCCTACTTCCCTAGCTGAAATGTCTACCCCACTTCCCGCCCCACTCGCCGTTCGGACTCAGAATAATGCTGCTAGGGCACGTCATAGTGAGAATAGGGAGTACTTTTTTTCCCACCCTGCCCGCAAAGTTTTTTCCCTGCCCGAAAAAGCGTATGTCCACATCGACCCCCTACGCGGATAGCGTACATACGCTAGCGTATATACGATACGCGTATATACGCAATAAGCGTATTTGGCAACTTAGCTTGGAAATATCTCGCCCACCTGGAAGTATCTCGCTTGGAAATATCTCGCCCACCTGGAAGTATCTCACTTGGAAATATCTCGCCCACCTGGAAGTATCTCGCTTGGAAATATCTCGCCCACCTGGAAGTATCTCACTTGGAAATATCTCGCCCACCTGGAAGTATCTCACTTGGAAATATCTCGCCCACCTGGAAGTATCTCACTTGGAAATATCTCGCCCACCTGGAAGTATCTCACTTGGAAATATCTCGCCCACCTGGAAGTATCTCACTTGGAAATATCTCGCCCACCTGGAAGTATCTCACTTGGAAATATCTCGCCCACCTGGAAGTATCTCATTTGGAAATATCTCGCCCACCTGGAAGTATCTCATTTGGAAATATCTCGCCCACCTGGAAATATCTCAAGTCCATGAGCTCCAGATCCTCGTACACGATCTCGGGCAGCCATAAAAGTGTCTCCTGCCCGTCCGCCAGCCCCTCTGGCCCCTCCCTCCGCACCAGTTCGCCCTTCCCCACATCCCACCTCCACCAACTCCTCTCCCCCTCTTGCTGTGTGCCCTCTGGAGCCTCCTCAGTTTGTGGACGCGTGTTGCTGCCCTCCAGGGCAGTCACATGTGGACGAGCGTTGCCGCCCTCCAGGGCTTCAATCTCCTCCTTTTCAAACTCCACCACCTGCCCGATCACATCTTCGGATGATCGGATTTGATCTGATTTGACCAGCGATGCAGATGCCACCTGCACAGATACACCTGCCCATGCAAGCACCCCCTCCCCCAGCCCACCCACCACCTCCTGACCCTGACCCCCCTCAAACCCCCTTCTCTCCCCACCCGCCCCCTCCCCCTTCCCAATCCCTCCCCCCACCCCCCGTTCCAATCCTCCTCCCCCCCCCTATTCTCTCTCCTCCCCTTCCCCCTCTTCTTCCCCACCTTCCCACATAGCCCCCACGCTTACTCAATACGTCCCTCATCCCTCCCCATCATCCTAGCCCGCCCCCAGTGGTCCCCATCCTCCCCCTAATCCTCACCCATCCTCCCCCTCATTCTCCCCCATCCTTCCCCCGATCCTCCCCCCCATCCCCCCCGATCCATTCCACTATCCTTCCCCCCATCCTTCCCCTCCATCCTCTCCCCCATCATTCCCCCCACCGTCCCCCAAGCACAGCACCACACGCGGGGAATGGCAACACCGTCAGCGCAAGTGAAAGTGAGACCAGTACGATCTTCCCTATTCCATAGAATGGAATTACGGGACGAGATGTGAGACACGTTTCGAAACTGAAGGAAGCGTCACATCGCCTTTCCCTCACTATGGCGATATGGCATGGACTGGCAAGATGCCGATGGGAGGAGGATGGGAGGAACAGGAGGGAAGAGGAGGGACGAGGAGGGAAGATGAAGGAAGATGAGGGAAGATGAGGGGAATGAGGGAAGACAGGGATTTGGAAGAGGGAACAGAGAAGACGGAAGAACGAAGAGGGAGGGAGTGGGAAGGGGGAGGAAGAGGAGGAGAGGCGCCTAAAAAATCGTTCTACTATTGGCATGGGGGTATGATTGGGAGAGGAGGTTGACCTGCGGAGAGAGAGCGATGAAGACCATGGCGACAACCAGGAGAACGCCAGAAAGTCGGACTTTTGAATCCATCTTCTCTTGGTTTCTCAGAGTATCCCCTACAGTGTGAAGTTCAGCACTGTAAATCCCCCGTGAGACTGACGATCACATGCTGTATAAACGCTATAACCTATTAGCACGTGTACCATGGAAGAATAGATTGGTATTCGCTTAAGGATTCAGCATTTGCAATGAGCCGATGACGTCATGCTGTACTCGGTAAAAGCAGCAAACGCCAGGGTTGTTTATCGCTACAGATTCAGTACAAACGCCATCGGGGGGTCGGAGATATCGGAATTCGCTGAAATTATAATTGATGCAGCGGATGCTATGATACGAGCGACGATAAAGTGCTCGAGACAGAAGCCAACCAGAGCGCGAATTCCAGGACAGAAATAGCCAGACTCTATCAATATTAAAAGCAGGAAACTGTGAGAGGGGGTAAAACGTTCGGGCGTTTCACCTAACGGAACGAGTCCAACCCAGCGACCTAGCTTCATATGCTCGGATTTCGCAAATTGCCTGCCAGTGATCCCAAAGGTAGGTAGTCTCGAGGCAGGTGTTCTCGAGGTAAGAATTGCAAGGAACTAATCTCAATTCAAGGAGGTGTTCCCAAGAAGTATTTCAAGTCCTCAGATGTGGTTCGCGATCGGTTCGCAATTGAAGTTCGAGTTGTTTCGTAGTTCGATCTCGCGAGTCAAAGTGTTTCTGAGATTGTTGGGTTCGTGGTCTCCGCTGAAATCGGTGTGTGCAATAACGTGGCCATCTTGTTGGCGATCGCCCTCGCGAAACTGGATAGGCGAATAACAAGAAAGGAAAGTGACTCACGTAAATGTCAAACGAGGGTTCACGTACCCGCTTGGGCTCGGCTGAAAGAACCCTCTCCTCAAGTTTAATAACGGTGCAGAGTGGTTCTCCGCGTTTTAGAACGTCCACGTCGCAGGTTGAGTGCTAGGGCTGTCCCACTTCAGGTGTTCGTTGTCAAATTCGGGTGCCACACCAGCCGATTACCGTGCCGTGTGGCAAGGGCAACATTCTGAACCGCACGACGATGAACGAAGAAATTGGTATAATAACTCAGTGAGCAGAATCTAATTCGGCAATGTCAAACACCATTTTCTTCAGACGCGACTGCACCGCATTTTCCCTAGCTATCGCGTCGCGACTCTAGGTACTTTCTTAGCTAGCGAGAGGGTGAAGCTCGTCTGTGTCAACCGCCGCTGTGGGCGCGGCGCGAGCGGTGGTCGAGTACGCGCGATCGGGTCGCGCTGCGTGTCGCCACTGCAGCAAGGCGGTAGCTAAGGATGACGTGCGAGTCGGCGTCGTGACGAAAGGCAACGGCGGATTCGACGTCACTAAATGGTACGAATCCTCAACGTGTTCTTCGTTTACCTTACGTGCTCAATTACATTCCTATTATACTTAGAATTGACTTACCATAATCCTATGCCGGACACCTCCGTGGCTCCTCAGGTACCACCCTCCCTGCGTCGCGGCGGCTAACTCGCTTTCGATACAGTCACCGTCCAGCTTACAAGGCTTCACGCGCTTAAAGGTGCGGACTGTTTTTCTTGCCAACAGGAATTATCAGCACCACTCATGATTGAACAGAAGACGCTACATATCTTCCTCACAAGAGTCGCTAGAAACGAAAGCCACCTTCTCGTCTCCTTACCCTACCCTAATCACCACCACCGCCGCCAGCCGTCTCTGCAGGCCGTTTCAGTATCCTTGAAAAGAGAACTCGGCAGGCGTTGAAACTGAAACCCTAAAATATGGAACATCGCCCTCTCTCTTCTCGTGCCTCCATCCATCCGTCGGTGCACCACCAGCAGCAAGTAGCATCCGTCCGTCCTCTCTCTCCAGGTCCAGACCAATCTTATCCTTCTCATGAGATGATTTGTTTCGGTGAAGTCACAAGTTGTCCACCTTTCAAACTGTTCTCACGATATGGGAAACCAACTGAACAAAAATATCATCATATCTTCCCTTCATCCTGACCCACTAACCACCACTGCAGCCCTTTTCAGTATTTTCAGAAGAAAAAACCAAGCCTTTCAGGCATACCACTAGCCGTTTGATCAGAAATGCCGCCATGCCATTCTCACGAGAGTTGTTAGGAACGAAGCTAAACAAAAACTCGTTCCTTCTTTTGCCATCCTCTCCCCCACTCACTACCTCCAGCTGTTCGACCAGCAGTCCCTCCGTCTTCAAAGCCACCTCAAAGGCCGCATCTATTCCACTTACTCGTGAAAAAAACTCTGGGCCATTAAATAAGAAGTGTTTTTTCAATATTTTCCTCCCTCTACCCACTCACCACCCCCAGCCTTCCGACCAGCAATCCCTCCAGGCCATTCTCACGAGAGCATCTGCTGCTGCTGCTGCTGCTGCTGCTGCTGCTGCTGCTGCTTCCTCTCCTGCTTCACAACCTGCTGCTGCTGCTGCTGCCACTGCCGTCGCCGCTGCTGGAGGGAAGGGCGGGAAGGGAAAGAGGGCGATGGAAGGAGCTTCTGGAGAGGAGGAGGGTAGGGCAGGAGCGGTGCTGGACGGTGCGGTTGAAGCAGGAAAGGCCTGTAACGCGGATGAGAGCGGCAGTGAGGACTCCAGTGGACCTGAGATGAAGAGGAGCAAGGTAGTGTGGCTTTTTACCCTTTCTTGGGTGCGAGTGCTTTTGCTTTTAAGGCATCCTAAAGCATAGAAAAGAAAGGTAATTTTGTTACCATTTCTTTAGGGTGGTTGTTTGCAGTGGTGTGCTAATGTCGAGTTGACTAGGTCGAGTTAGATTGACACATGCGAAGAATGCAGCAAGTTAAAGAGGAAGAAGCAAAGAGGCAAAGAGGAAGACGCAAGGTTAAAAACTGGGAGAGGAACACGCAGATAGGAAGAGTCAAAGGGGAAGAGACTAAAGGAAGAGGGTATGGGCGAATCGTTGTGATTCTTATGTGAGTGGCATACCATTCCTTACCTCTTTTGACCCTTTTGACCCTTTTTACCTCTTTTTTCACCTTTTTGGTTTCACTTTGAATGCACTGATCATGGCAGGTTGTCAGTGCAGGCTCCGCCACCTACCCTGCTCCTTCACCTGCTGTGAAGAAAGTTCTGGGAACCTTCTCTCATCAATCACTCAAGGGGATGTACAAGGTGAGTGCGGGTGTGCCGAATGGGGTGGGTAAGATATTTTTTTACGGTGGGTTGTCAAAGAGGGAAACGGATTGGCAAAATGGCACACTGTTATATATCAACTTGGGGAAAGACCAATTAGGACTTTGCAAGATGTGCAAGGCGCGCGTGTATTTCAAAGGAATCACCACTAGAAACTGTAGCAGACAGATGGTGAGGTTCCGTCGAGAACACTACCTCGTGGCGCTTATGTGCCAGGCGCGCATGTTTTCCAATGGACACGACCTCGTGCCATTAGAAACTGTATCAGATCAAACACATGGTGAGGTTCCATTGAAACACTACCTCGTGGCACTTATGAGGCATCTGAATAGAACACTAACTTTGACTCGTGTTTTACTGGTGGATACCAGGGCGAGCCAAGTGGGACGGCACAGCGGAGAGGGCCACATCCTCCCGTTGTTGCCCACGAGTCTGTAGAAGAAGGGCTAGAGGATATCAGTCACTATATCGACCCCGAACTGTTCAAGCCCCGTCTTCGACGTGCCATTGCAAAGTTGGTGGCGGCCGATGTAGGCTTCCCACTTGAAGTGGTGGATTCGGAGGCGGTGAGTTGGATTTGAACAGTTGTTTGGCGCAATCATGCATTTTGCTCGCTCGAGCTCAATTGTTTCGCTCAGCTCGAATTTGTAGACCCGCTCAACCTCGTTGTCATTCATTGCCCTACCCATGATATCACAGTTTCACGAGCTGCTAATTACATTGAACCCACTGTGTGGGCAGCCGGGCATGATACCGCCTAGTTGGCTAGTAGAACGCGACGTGGCTCGACTTATTGCGGCTCGCAAGCGCACGAAGGGCCCTGCATCGAGAGTGGCAGACGAAGGCAATAGTCAGATTAATTGAAGAGAACACCGAGAGAAGGTGGCAGTCGGCAAATGCGGACGAAGAGGGGAAGAAGAGTTCTTGTTGGGGCTAGGGGAGTAGGAGTAAGAGGTTGCCTCAAGACTTTAGTGTGCCCAGTCTCATACTGGTGCGCTAAGATGGGCCTACCAGCTTTACAGTGAACAAATGCTTGGCTGGTTATTTGTCACATGGCAGCATCAGATGCCCAGCTTTGAGCATGTTTATGCGCATGCGTGACCCTTGAGTTATGGTTGTCAGTTTTAGCATGTCGATCGTTGATGCAGCTGTGCGTGTGGAGGATTAGGAGGTAGTGCGAAGTTTCGAAGTTGCATGTGCTCGATCGTTTCAACCCTTAATCTCATGTTTGATTTGTAATCTCATGTTTGATTTGATTTACCAGACTCTTGTAGTTCTTTCAGTCGAGGATTGCTTGACTTGTTGATTCTTACCCCTTAAGCTTGTGGACCCTAAAGATTGGTTTCTCGTGAACAGGCATGAGCATCGAACCGAACATGTCTGGTTCAGGGTTTAGGGTTTAGGGTTCGGTTCTAGCTAAAACGTTCGCAACGGACCGGGAAAAGGTCAGTCTAATTGTTTAACACGAAAATATATGCCAGCGTCGAACAGCGTGTGATTCGACAAGACGAGCAGGTTCCCCGTGCGCCAGGCAGGAAACCTGCTCGACAAAACGAGATTAGGGTAGATCTTTAGTTTTTTGTTTCTCACATTCCAAGTCTAGAATGCCTGGTAGTCTAGATTTTTTAGTCTAAATTTTGTTTGGGCATTGCATCCTGCCCGCCACCTGTTTAAACCATGATAGTGCCGAATCCCCGCTGCAAAATGCCTGATACGCGGGGCTCTGGCAGCGAAATGCCAAATCCAAGTGTATCTGGACCATTCAAGCATACCACACACCCACTTACTTGCACATGAGTGTGGTGTGAAGTATAAGCTCCTGTTTGGGGAAGGTTAAGCGTGTATATATCTACACCTCCTATACCCCCATGTCCCGCTCAACAGGTAAAGAACATTTTGAAGGCACAATGTCACTTTCAATGTGATTATAACGAAATGGCAACTCGAAGAGAACCTGTTCGCGTTTGTGACGAACCTTTTTTAGTTCGATCGAATTTTCTAGGGTTCGACCTATGTTGCAAAAGACGCTGGGGCCGTCCTGCGTCCTTTTGCAACATAGGGTTCGACCAGGCTCTGCCGAACCTCGAACCTCGAACCTCAAAAGGTTAAATTAAAATTCCATCGAACTGAATCGGTTTGGTTTGTTGGTAGATGCAGTTCGACATGGCTCGTCCCGAACATGTTTGGGTTTGGTTCGTGCTCATAACCACGCAGAAGTCGTGCTTGTGCGAGTTCGATAATGACCAAAACTCGAGACCAAATTATGGAAAAGGAGTTGTGACTATATCAAAAGGACCATGAACCCTAGAAAGCTAAGGGATATTCGTAAGCTGGTCGACCTGTCACGAGCCTATTTGACTTGAAACGAGCCAACCATGGCTAATTAAGTTGGATTCAACATTCGAGACCCTTAATATCAAGCTTTAAATGCCGGAGTTGTGATGCTAGCTCGTTTGGACGATGTATGTTTTTTTTTGGGGGGTGGGGTTGACAAAAATAAATTGCACGGATTGTCAAGCATTGCGATTGCGGTGCACAAATCTTCGCCCGACAAAAAACGATCACCTTCGAACCCAACCAAGATTCCCACTCCCAACTGCACATTATTGCATGCACAGTCAGACATGAGCAAGAACCAAATCCGAACTGGTTCGACTTGGTTCAAGTCGAACCAGTTTATAGCTAAAAAGAAATTGGTTCAGTCCGGTTCAAGTCGAACTGAAACCAAGGTAATGAGGAGTTGGTTAGCTTAATGTGGTCAAACTTTTCGGTTCGGGTTGAACCTCGGTACCGCAATCACCCGGACATACCCACCCTAGGGTCTTAAATAAATTTAAACAAAGAAAACTAAAAGACGAGGGGGGGGGGGGGGGGGGGGGGGATGAAGCGCGTGTATTAATCGAGGCAAGAAGAAAGGGGAGTTCGTTTGCAAGAGGAGGCACGGACTGGAGGAGCTGTAATATATTAGACAGATGGGGGGATAAGCCTGTGAGGGAGTTGGGGGCTTGTGAGAGGCAGCACAATGAGGGAGTTGGGGGCTTGTGAGAGGCAGCACAATGAGGGAGTTGGGGGCTTGTGAGAGGCAGCACAATGAGGGAGTTGGGGGCTTGTGAGAGGCAGCACAATGAGGGAGTTGGGGGCTTGTGAGAGGCAGCACAATGAGGGAGTTGGGGGCTTGTGAGAGGCAGCACAATGAGGGAGTTGGGGGCTTGTGAGAGGCAGCACAATGAGGGAGTTGGGGGCTTGTGAGAGGCAGCACAATGAGGGAGTTGGGGGCTTGTGAGAGGCAGCACAATGAGGGAGTTGGGGGCTTGTGAGAGGCAGCACAATGAGGGAGTTGGGGGCTTGTGAGAGGCAGCACAATGAGGGAGTTGGGGGCTTGTGAGAGGCAGCACAATGAGGGAGTTGGGGGCTTGTGAGAGGCAGCACAATGAGGGAGTTGGGGGCTTGTGAGAGGCAGCACAATGAGGGAGTTGGGGGCTTGTGAGAGGCAGCACAATGAGGGAGTTGGGGGCTTGTGAGAGGCAGCACAATGAGGGAGTTGGGGGCTTGTGAGAGGCAGCACAATGAGGGAGTTGGGGGCTTGTGAGAGGCAGCACAATGAGGGAGTTGGGGGCTTGTGAGAGGCAGCACAATGAGGGAGTTGGGGGCTTGTGAGAGGCAGCACAATGAGGGAGTTGGGGGCTTGTGAGAGGCAGCACAATGAGGGAGTTGGGGGCTTGTGAGAGGCAGCACAATGAGGGAGTTGGGGGCTTGTGAGAGGCAGCACAATGAGGGAGTTGGGGGCTTGTGAGAGGCAGCACAATGAGGGAGTTGGGGGCTTGTGAGAGGCAGCACAATGAGGGAGTTGGAGAGGAGCCCGGTTGGGTGAGGGGCCGAGGAGTTGGAGTGTGCGAGGCACGATGGACTAGAGAGGGAGGTGGGTTTCAAGAGGTGCGAGGAAGTGGGAGGGGATGGTTGCGAGCGGCTAGAGGGAAGGGGAAAATTGGAATGTGAAAGGCATGATGAACAGGGAATTTAGGCAAGTTTTGAGGTTTTGTTGAGATTTTTTCAAAAATAGCATCCATGCATCAAAACTCACCTCAACGCATGCGGGAGGCATGATGAATAGGGAATCTGATGGAGGGAGCGGGAGGGGGTGTGGGGGGAAAGGGAGAGGGAGGAGGTGTGGTGGGGAGGGGAGAGGGATGGTTATGATGGGGGAAGGAGGGGGTGGGTGCTCTTGTGGAACTTGTGGAATTGCAAAGATGCGGAATCATGGGGATTTTTAAGGCGCCTAAAAAATCGCGTCAGTAGGAGGGGATGGGGTTGGGTACTTTTGCGCAAATGGAACTTGTGGAATTGCCAAGTGACAGATGTGGAATCATGGGACCCACACGTACCACAGAGGACCCCCCTACCGCAGCAGCATGTGAAGCTTGCAAGTGGTTTTAGCTAGGTGGGCATTACATTTGGGGAAGGTTGTAGTAGCCTTTGAGACGAATTGTCAAGGAGTGATTGTAGGTACCTTCTCTTACAACACAGGTTTCAATTTTTATCAACACTTGTTTGTCTCATCCTGTCTGAAACATGTTATCGTCTGGGTAGTTTGTTCCTGATCCCCACCCACTGTTCTCATGCACACTAATCCCACTCACACCACCATTCCCACTGTGAAACACAGGGGATCAGCTACAGCTGGCTACTCTTTCTTCCTTGCCCCCCCTCACCATCCTCTGCTTCCTCACCATCCTCTGCTTCCTCCCAGGACGTTCCTCTGCCTCCTGGCTGGTTCGCATTCTCCTCAGTCATCCTTCATCAGGTATTTCTGCTATGCCTTCCAACCTTCCTTCTGCTATGCTCCTCCACCACGTGTACGCTGCCTCAATACCAATGCACATGCTCTCATGCTCCTCAGTCATCTTTCACGTGGTATTTCTGCGATGCCTACCCATTCTCCGTGTGCTATGTTTCATTCATCCTATTCTCTTCAGCCGTGTGTGAGGAGTCTCCTATTCTTTGGGTGAAGAACCTTTGAGCCTCGAAGTTTCACCTAAATCACACTCCATTCTCCTTTCCTGTCCCTGCCCTCATCACTCAAATCTCCCTCATGCATCCCATCCCATCCTATCCTTTCTTTCCTCCCTTTCTGTCACTCCTTCCCTTCAGAGCCCTGATCTGAAGCCATCCAGTCGAATCGCGGCCTTTGATTTCGACGGCTGCTTGGTCAACACCAATGTGCGCATGTGAGTGATGTGAGTTGAGTTGAGGGTGCAAGGGAGGGGCACACGAGTGTGCATGTGAGTGATGTGAGTTGAGTTGAGGGTGCAAGGGAGGGGCACACGAGTGTGCATGCGAGTGATGTGAGTTTAGTTGAGGGTGCAAGGGAGGGGCACACGAGTGTGCATGTGAGTGATGTGAGTTGAGTTGAGGGTGCAAGTGTGTGTGCATGTGTGAGGTGGCACCAGTGTGGCTGCTTGGTCAACACCAACGTGCGCATGTGAGTTGAGAGGCAGGAAGTTGAGGAGTGATGCGCATGTGAGGTGGGGGTGTAAGGGAGGGGCGCAAGTGTGTGTGCATGTGTGAGGCGACACCAGTATGGCTGCTTGGTCAACACCAATGTGCGCATGTGAGTTTAGGCGCGGCGCAGGGAGGAGGGTGCTGTGCTGTGTGAGTGAACTTGCTATCCAGTAGTTGTGAGGCGTCTTAATATCAGGGAGGGGGAGTGGGGTGCTGTTGTCCTGTGGGACATGAATCTGATACCCAGGGTGTGCACACACTGCGCATGTGTGTTCAGGGACTGTAGGTTTAGGGGTGGAGGAGTGTGTGTCCCGTGCACGTGTGAGTTGAGGAGGGGGGGGGGAGGGGGAGGTCGAGTCTCTCTACCTTTGATCCCGTCGGATCATGGCTGCTGTCAAAAGCGGACAGGTGGGCTGCGGAGGCCTTATTTCCATCAACTCGTGCTGTATTAGGACAGCGAGACAAACTCCATGGTTTGATGGCGGAAAGAGCCTGGTTACGCACTAACTTAGAACGTTCCTTAGAGAGCCACTATGGATCAAAATTTCACTATAGAATCAGTTGAGGAGGGGGGGGGGGGGGGGGGGTCGACTCTCTCTGCCTTTGATTTGAGATGTCTCAAAACAGATTTATTATCACGTGCCTTTGATCCCGTTGGATCATGGCTGTTTCGTCAACTCCGTTTGCGCATGTGAGTTTGGAGGTGGCAAGGGAGGGGCACCAGTGTTCGCATGTGAGTTTGGAGGTGGCAAGGGAGGGGCACCAGTGTTCGCATGTGACTCGACGCAAGGGGGTTGCTGTGAAAGTGAACTTGGTATTCAACATGACAGTGTGCATGCAGGGTGTTTTTGAGAATTCTCAAAACACCCTGCAGCAACTTGGTATCCCACATGACAGTGTGCATGTGTGTTGAGAGACTGTTTGTGCTGTAGATGGTAATGAGTTTCTGTTGCCTCTCATGTGTTCTCTTGACAAATCCCAGTCTTCTCAACACCACCGCACGTCCTGCTTTCCACCTGAGATAACTTTAGAATCGACTCAGAAGTCCCTCCTCTCTTCACAAAGCATGGGTACACACTCCTGGTCCCTCATGTGCTCTCTTAACAATCCCCAGTCTTCTCAGCACCACCGCGCGTCACTCTCTCCACCCATTTCGAATCCCCCTGTCCCTTCCTCTCCTTTATCCTCACAGCATGAGACCAAACGCCTGGTCTTTCATGTTTGAGACTGTTCCTACCTTTCTCAATTCCTCTTTCACATCCCCTCTCCATCCATATCTCTTCCTCTCTCCCATTCCCACAGCATGGGCCCCAATCCTGGCCTCTTGTGCTTGACACAGTTCCCAGCGTTCGCAGCTCCATCCCACATCTCTCTCAACTGTTGCGCACTTGTCACTTCCCTCTCCTTGCTATCCCCACAGCATGGGACCCAACGCCTGGTCTCTCATGTTTGATACCGTTCCCAGCGTGCTGCAGCAGTTCCATCAAGCAGGCTACAAGATCGTGAGTCTCAATAGCTACTTGAGGCGTCCCAAATGTGTTCAGGTACATTCTTTCCAATTCCTTCTGAGACGATTTTTGAGGCGCCTCAATAATCAAGCAGGCTACAAGATCGTGAGTCTCGATAGATACTTGAGTCGTCCCAAATGTGTTCCATTCTTCCCATGCTCCAAATGGGTACATTCTTTCCAATTCCTTCTGCTTGCTCAACTGTCGACTTCGTTTTCATTACACCATCAACCCTAAACCTGAGAATCCCAACTCAAAAGGCCCTTCAACCCAACCCTAAACGCTAAATCTTGAAACCCTGCACATTGTGAAAGGTGATAAAAGGGTTATGTTGAGGAACCAAGAGGCCCTATAGTATAATGAGAGACGGAAGAGGCTCTATGTGCCACTTTGTAGCCCAAGCAACCATACATGTGAGCTGGTTTGGATGGGTGGAGCTAGGGACCAATGAGTTGGCAAATGAGTTGCCAACCAAGGACCAATGAGTTGGCAAATGAGTTGCCAACCAAGGACCAATGAGTTGGCAAATGAGTTGCCAACCAAGGACCAATGAGTTGGCAAATGAGTTGCCAACCAAGGACCAATGAGTTGGCAAATGAGTTGCCAACCAAGGACCAATGAGTTGGCAAATGAGTTGCCAACCAAGGACCAATGAGTTGGCAAATGAGTTGCCAACCAAGGACCAAGGATCTCAATTAATGCTTTTTGAGACGTCTCAAATGCCAACCAAGGACCAAGGATCTCAATTAATGTTCACCAACCGCAAATTGTGGTTGGAGGGTACACCCATCAATCAACCCCCTAATAGATCAAATTATTGCATCCCAAAATCCAGCCTTCTGATATTGTGTAAAATTAGAGAATACAATACACATCACCCTCACAAGGTCAGCTTTACCAACAAGTCCAACATTGATTGCTTCACCAGCACATTCAAGAGCGATCCCGTGTCAACCCTGCACCCCTTCTCACCCCCCCCCCCCCCCCCCCCACATCACCCTCACCCCCACCAGGTCATCTTCACAAATGAGTCGAACATCGATCGCTTCACCAAACAGCGCCAGAGGGCCATAGAAAGCACACGGGCACCAATGCCCAGCCCCTTCAACCCCAAACCTTAAACCTTTGTGTCAACCCTCCATGTCATCACCCCCACCAGGTCATCTTCACCAACGAGTCAAACATCGATCGCTTCACCAACCAGTGCCACAAGGCCATTGAGAGTGCACGCCACTAATCCCCAGACCCTTAAACCCCAAACCCCAAACCTTGGCGCCCCTTGTCAACTCTGACCAGGTCATCTTCACCAACGAGTCCAACATAGATCGCTTCACCAAGCAGCGCCACAAGGCAATCGACAGCAAGATCGGGCGACTGAACGGATTTATGCGTGCAGTGCCGGGCGTGCCCATGCAGGTAGGTAGGCATGGATCTGGTAAGTTACCCTTGCAGGTCAGTTGATAGAGGGGGCTTCACTAAGCAAGCAGCGCCACAAGGCCATTGAGAGCAAGATCGGGTGGCCATTGAATGGTCTCATGCGTGCAGTGCCGGGCGTGCCCATGCAGGTAGGTAGGCATGGATCTGGTAAGTTACCCTTGCAGGTCAGTTGATAGAGGGGGCTTCACTAAGCAAGCAGCGCCACAAGGCCATTGAGAGCAAGATCGGGTGGCCATTGAATGGTCTCATGCGTGCAGTGCCGGGCGTGCCCATGCAGGTGTGTGTGTGTGGCAGGGTTGCTTGCATGGGTACATGTCAGTTGAGAGAGGGGGTTTCACTAAGCAAGCAGCGCAAGGCCATTGAGAGCAAGATTGGCCGGCTGAATGGCTTCATGCGTGCAGTCCCGGGCGTGCCCATGCAGGTAGGTAGGTGTATGTGTGGTCTTGTGGTGGGATTGCAAAAAATGGCCCATGTAGATAAGGAGGGCAGCAACGCAGGGGGGCCGTTTCAAAAGCTACATGGCTACTCTTGAATTGATTTTATTATATTTTTTTCCCCATGTTCTCTCCCTGTTTTTCCTTCTCCGCGCCTCAACCTTTTTTTCCCCTCATCTCCCCATTTCGCCAGATCTTCATCTCCTGTGGTCGCAGCAACTCAGGAGACCTATTCCGGAGACCGTATCAACAACCCACTCCCTCTCTTCCTCTCTTGCCCTCTCCCCTTCTCCTCGACCTTTTCGCTATCCCTTCCTCCCCTCCAGATCTTCATTTCCTGTGGTCGCAGCAACTCAGGGGACCTGTTCCGGAAACCAGAAGGGGGGCTATGGCACTTGCTGTGCGAGTGTGGGAATGAAGAGAGACAAGTGGAATGGGAGAGGTGAGTGTGTGTCTTGTGGGCATGTGGTGGTGCTGCTGCCACATCTTCATCTCATGTGGTCACAGCAACTCAGGAGACCTGTTGGGGAAACCAGAAGAAGGTCTGCTGTGCGTGTGCGGGAATGAGGGGAGGCACGTGGATGGGGAGGAGTGAGCGAGCTGGCATGTGATGGTGGTGCTACCACTAGGGGGACTTCTGTCACCGCTGTGCAAAGCATAGGCCGCAGCTTGCACCAATCTCAACCCTATTCCACACCTTATTTTCTCCCTTTTCCCTGGTCGTCCTCATTTCGTCTTGCCTCCCTGCCTCGCACCCCATTTCCACCCAATTGCACTCATTATCCTCTCCCCTTCCCTCACCCCTGCCTGCGTCCTCGCCTCATGTCTCTCTCCTCACGGCCTGCCTCCCTCCCGTGTATCCTCCCCTCAACTCATTCGTCGTGGGTGATGCTGCAGGAGCATTCCCATGTCTTCCCCCTCTCCCTGCCTCCTCACCTCCTGCCCCCCTCTGCTGACTCCTCCCCTCAGCGCACTCTTTGTGGGGGATGCGGTTGGTCTCCCTTAGGACCACAGTAATTTCAGTCCACTCACAACACTCCCCTCTGCCCTGCCTGCTCTCCTCCTCACCTCCTGCCTCCTCGCCTCCTTCCTCCTCACCTCCTTCCTCCTCACCTCCTTCCTCCTCGCCTCCTGCCTCCTCGCCTCCTGCCCCCCTGCCCCCCTGCCCCCCTGCCTCCTATAGTTTGAGTTGACTCACCCTCTCTTTGCTGTGCCTCCCCTGTCACCTCCCACAGCTCATTTTTCGTGGGAGATGCAGTTGGTTGCCCTCAAGCCCACAGTGATTCCAGTCGACCCAAAAATACTCCTCTTTGCCTCCCCCCATTGCCCCCCCTCCCTGCCACCTTCCTTCCTCCTCCGCCTCCCGTCCCACGCAGCTCATTCTTCGTGGGGGATGCAGCTGGTCGCCCTCAGGACCACAGTGATTCCGACCAGGTGTTTGCTCAGGTAAAAATCAAGTTGTTTCGTTTCTCCCCGTTTTATTCACTTCGTGATTGGGGTTGATGCATCACCCGCTAATTTCGTTTTTGCACGGTACACCCACCCAAATCCCATAACGTGGCGCCCTCTGATGTGGCGCCCTCTACCGTGTTCTCTACCTTCTCTCCTATCAGAGGCTGAACCTACCCTTTTATCTGCCTGAAGACGTGTTTGGGCCATCCCCGTCAGCATTGACCCAGCTTCTTGCACCACCATCTACAGTATTATAATCATCTTCTGGTAAACATACAGATGGATAAAGGCCCATTTCTGACAGTCTCGCAACAGTTTTTCAACTGTTGAACCAGCTTCTTGCACCACCACCCCCGTAACTGCCATTATTTCCGAAGTGTTAAGATCTCTGAGATAAGACAATTTTTCAAGTGTTGGGCAGGCTTCTTGCACATTGCACAACCACCACCTATCATACCATAACCGCATGGGTGTACTATCTTGGAAGCTGTAAGGCTGACAAAATTTTCAACCTGTAACAGTTTCCACTTTTTTTGTGTTGCATCATACCAAATGATTAGGTGCAAAAATGCAGTTTATATGTTGGAGAGAAACAAATGATTCTTCTATATATGGAAACTTATTATATCTGCATTGTTATATAGCTGACTTTCCAGTGCCCCAATAAAGTATTCTGCATAGAAAATGTCAGAATATTGTGACCACGCTGCATAATGAGGCGAGATTTCAGGTCCAACCGTCTCTTTATCCGCATAGATTATACTAGAATCTGTATGTGCATTGTTGACTACAGCAGTAATTTGCTACCTAAATGTTTTGTACTAACGAGATGTTTTTTTTCGCGTGTCATGCCTGATCACAAATCAGCAAATCTATCTAAAGCGTACTCGTTGGTGGTGCACCACAAGCTTCAACTGCGCCACCAAAGCAGTCCCCTGCATTGCTGCCCCCCCTTGCTTCCCCTGCTTCGTAGCTTTCCCCCTCCCGCAACCCATTCCCCCTCCCGCGACAGCTGTCTCCCCATTCCCCCTCCCGCGACAGCTGTCTCCCCATTCCCCCTCCCGCAACAAAATCCCCCATTCCTCCCCGCAACCCATTCCCCCTCTCCCGACAGCTGTTCCCCCTTTCCCCAGTGCCGCTGCTCGCCTGACTGAACTGGAACCCTCATATTCTACTGCGGATGCTCTTTTTCATTCTCCGAGTCACAGCAACCTGCAACCATGAGAGATAAGGTAGAGTCACCCTTTCCCAGCCGGCCCCTTAGTTCCTGTAGCGCAGTTACTAATGGCGCTTTAGGCTATTGTTTTTGGTAGCTCGTTTTTCTTCCTTCGTCCCTCGGTCCGTGTGCTCGATCTTTTCGGTTCGACCGTTGCCGTATTTCCAACTAGTTCATCGATACTGATTTCCGTGTTACTACTTGTGTTTGCAGTGGAAGAAAAAGCGTATGCGGCGGTTGAAGCGCAAAAGAAGAAAGATGAGACAGAGATCCAAGTAAGCGTGACATGCGCCGAGGATTCTCACCTGTGCTTTCACGCGGGAGCAGGACTCCGAAATTTCGTGAGGATCTGATTGAGGTGCACTGCGAATGTCCTGCAAAGTCTGGCGACAACTGAGCCGAGTGCAAGATTCGGGGCTAGACCTGATGCGTGGGTTGTAGCATGATGCTTCTGCTCCATCCATCTGTTAGCGTCTGCCTGATTTGCGAGCTTAGCCGCGTGGATGCTTCTTGCTGGCTCCATTGTTTTCAAACTCGTAATGTGAAATTTTAAGATCTGAAGTAACCGCCTCACGATCCCGTTTTGTCGTTCCTTATCGTCTTTCGCTTGTCACTCTGCTTCTCCTTGGCTGTCCCGGTGACGATTCCATTTGTTACACACTCTGAATGGATTCTGGACTTCGGTCGCTTATCCAGTGTGGTCAATATCCACCAACGCTGAGGGCCAGTTTCTCGTCAACCGCGTACATTTTCTTTTGCTGCTCCCTTGATCGGTCTGCAAATTTTTTTTCCAAGCTTCATGATCATACCGTTTTTTTCCTGCTCATTCCATTACTGGCCCAGTGACGATCACATTTGTTACACACTCTGAAAGGCGCTGGACTTCGGTCCTATGTCATGTGTGGTAAATATCCACCAACGCTGAGGGCTTGTTTTTATCATTTCTTGTTCTTACGCATTTCGTTGTCCATTTAGAAGTCGTAGAGGCAGAGTCTGTTTGACTGGGTGGCAATTCAGGCAACCAACCATGACTATCACTGCATGGATTCGGTGTTCAGCCGCCCAAACATCAATTTCTTCTGTACTCGTACCCTCTTGTGGGGTAGCCAGTGCACTGTGGCTGGTTGAAGGGTGCAGTGGATAACAATTCGGCAATGTCCTAGTACTGCAGATGTGAACGAATGGCTCTGAGCTCACAACTTGGTTAATGAAAGGAGTTTTCCTGTGAACGGTTTTGTTTTCAACCTTCTACTGCATGAAGGGTAATAATTGTATGCTTGCACGTCACAATTGAATTCAGCTACCCGTTCATCATTAGTAGGAACACAACGGAATGATGAACTAGAAACAGGATGGGTTACAAATATGCAAGCCTAAAAGCTGTACCCCTTAGAAGGTACGTCACTACAGACCAGGGGTTTTTTTATCAGAGTGAATCACTCTGTTTCTCTGAAAAATCAGAGTGGTTTTTGGGGGGTCACTGACATTTCTGGGTAATTTTTTTGGAAGATAAGTTTTCTATGATTTGCCAGGGTTTTGATTTTAGCCACTCTGATAGACCAGTGTAAATTTCTGGCGAATGTATTTTTCTCTGTACCAGGTATAGGCATTTCGACCGAACCCCCCCCCGAACTGGTGGAAGATGGCTTGGCACACAAGTCATAGTATAAAGATAGTCGCCGTTAAAATTGAACGTGAGCGCGTAGCATAACACTAAAGATTCGTCGGAGCGCGGAAGGCATGGGTTCAATACATAAGAGGGCACCCAGAGTTGAAAAAGTAGGTGCACTGAATGTCTGGAGTTTTTTTTTTCAGAAGTTAAGTTTTCTCTGACAAATCAGAGTAACGCTCATAATGAACCCTGATTTTCAGAGTTCCCAAAAAAACAGCTCTGAAAATCCGAGTAGTGAAAATCCAAAAAAAAACCTGCTACAGACTATACCACATATTTTATATTTGACACACTCCCATAGGCTAAGTGAGGGGCATCAAAACAAGCAAGGTGAATAAACGACCACAAGACCAGTCAATGCAAATAGCAAAGCAAGCTTAGGGTGGATTTCAAGGACACAAGCAGACGGCCACAAGACCAGTTCAAGAGTTCACTATGATATATATAGCAAAGTACAACAAGCAGAGCAAACAACAAGTCTACAGCAACCGAGTGCCTACCTCAACAAGCCCCAACTGCACACAGAACCTGTGGTGGTCACCAGGCGCCAAGGCCTTGGTGAAGACGTCGGCAGTGTTGGCCTCTGAGGCCACAAAGGCCAAGCGTGCCTGGCCGCATCGCTGCAGCTCTCGCAGGAGGAAGTACCTCACGTCAATATGCTTCCAGTCGAGGCTCTCGACACAAGAGGATCATGGCCTTGTTGTCAGCGTACAAGGTCGGTGCAGAGCGAGGCCGCTCACCAAGGTCGGCAAGCAAGAAGGTCAACCAGTGAAGCTCCTGTGCCGCCATGGCACCAGCGTAGGTCTCTGCCTCTGCAATGGACGAAGCCACAGACGACGACCGTGCAGACCTCCATGACACAACACCAGCACCCAGACTGAAGCAGTAACCAAGAGTCAAGCGTTGAGTCTCCACGTCGTCAGCGTAGGAAGAGTCGCAATGACCGGTCAACACTACTGGATGTGTCCCTCCAAGCACAAGCCCCATGCCTGATGTAGTCGCCAGGTACTTCGCCACCCTCACAGCAGCTGTCCAGTGAATAGGACAGTGTCTCCCAGTTGCAACAAAGCGAGAGAGGACGCTGAGGGGAAAGACGGAGTCCGGCCGAATACATGTCATCAGGTACATGAGGCAGCCCACAAGTTCTGCGTAAGGGCTCGTCGAGAAAAGGGCCAGTGAGTCGGTGGTCAACGGCAAGAGGAGTGGGCTGTGTGGTGGAGAACTGGAAGACCTGCTGCACCAAGTGTGACTGCGTCAGTGTGATGGTGCGAGCGGCTTTGTCCCTGGTGATCTGCAGGCCAAGGTCGCGCTGCAGTTCACCGAGGTCAGTGTACTTGTGTCTCTTCTGCAGTTCGGATTTCACCTCAGTCAGAGGTGCCCTGTCTGCTGTAGCAAACACCAAGCCGTCGACGTACAGTAGTATAAAGAAAGGAGTGGAACCAGTGCGAACAAGCAGCGACGGGTCGGCAGAAGAAGGACGAAACCGAAGGTCACGAAGCGTAGAGCGAAGAGTGTCGTGCCACTCACGGGGGGACTGGCGGAGACCGTAGACTGCCGCCTCAGGCTCCACTAGGTCCCAGGTGGGAAGGTACCAGTGAGGCCAAGAGGACGGCGCAGCCAGATCTCCTCGTGTAGTCGGCCCTGGAGAAACGCAGTGGAGAAGTCAAGGGAGTGCAGCTCGTAGTCTCGCTGTGCTGCTACGTGCAGTAACACCCGAAGAGTAGTCATCTTCGGGGTCAGGGCGAAGGTCTGGAAGAAGTCAACTCCCTCACGCTGACTGAAACCCCTAGCCACGTAGCGCGCCTTGAACACAGGCGGTGAACCAGGCGACCTCTTCACCTTGAAGAGCCACATGCCATCGACAGCGTTCGCCCTGGGAGGGGGAACTGCGTCGACGTACGTGCCTGTGGATCTCCAAGACGCTAACTCTGCATCCATAGCCGCTTTCCACTGATAGGCCCACTTCCCTGACACTGCCTCACGATACGTGCGAGGTGTCGGAATGTCAAGGGCGTCGGGGTCTCTCTCAAGGGAAAGCAGCATGGCGCAGAGAGAGGGGGAAGTGGCTGCTAAGAACTCCAGCTCAAACTGCATGTCCTCTAGGACGTCACAGCTAAGGGCAGACTCACCCCCGATGGACAGAGGACGGGGAGGTGGAGCAGCCACGACACGCGTGGCGTAGTCAAGACGGCGGGTGGAAGCAAAGTCAGCGACAGCGGCAGTAAGAGCCGAGACAGACGACGGAGAGGCACGAGGGTCGGTGACAAGAGAGGCGAGAACACGAGAGATAACAGGGCGAGCCGCACGGTAGTAGTCAGTGATAGGGTGAGAGGAAACGGTGAGAGACGACTCAGGAGGTGACGGGAGAACAGACACAGGCGGAGAACGACGAGGAGGAGAACGAAACAAGGCGGTGCGGAGGTCGGCAAGAGGAGACGAGGGCCGAGCACGTGGAGGAGAACGACTGGTCCAGTCGTGCCAGACAACAGGAGGAGGCGACTGTGACTGAGGAGGAGAGAAATAGCCGGAGTCGAGTCCGGAGGAGGAAACGTAGGACCGTACGCTGTAGGAGACTGTGAGTGAACAGGAGGAGAGGAAGGAAGACCAAGGGCCCGAAGGCCACTCACAAGAGGGAACAGCTGCTGCAAAAGTGGCGGCTGCGGCGACTCCTGCTGCTGCTGCTGCTGCTGCTGCTGCTGCTGCTAGTCCAACTGCCGCAACTCCTGCCTCTCCTACTCCAACTGCTCCTGCTCCTCGCGCTCAAGCCGGCGAAGGGCCTGGAAACGGGTGTCGTGGCGGTGGGGAGGCGCCGTGGGTGACGTAGTAGGCGAGCCTCCAGTTCCCGTCTCCTCAGTACCAGCCCCTACAGCGCAAGCACCTCCTGCTCCAGCACCCCCACTACTAGCACCACCAGTGCCAGCACCTCCAGCTCCAGCACCCCCCGGACCAGCACCTCCAGTGCCAGCACCTCCAGCTCCAGCACCCCCAAAACTAGCACATCCAGTGCCAGAACCTCCAGCTCCAGCACCCCCAGAGCTAGCGCCACCTGCGCCAGCACCTCCAGCTCCAGCACCCCCAGAACTAGCACCTCCAGTGCTAGAACCTCCAGCTCCAGCACCCCCAGAGCTAGCGCCACCTGCGCCAGCACCTCCAGCTCCAACACCCCTCGAACGAGCACCCCCAGACCGAGTACCGCCAGCGGCTGCACCTCCAGCTCCAACACCAACAGAGTCCACAGTAACCTGTCGCGGAAGTGCCGAAG